AGTGAAGTCCTTGGGGTGCTGTCCACACACCGTGAAGAGGGAAGAGTCCAGGGATAGAGGAGCTAGGGGCAGAGTGAAGTCCTTGGGGTGCTGTCTACACTCCGTGAAGAGGGCAAGCAGCCAGAAGCGGAGGGGACTGGAGGCTGGCCGAGGGGTGAGGGCCTTAAGGAAGTTGGAAGAGTTGGGGTGCGGACCGTGTTCTTGGCGTGGCCCTTGGCCGCCGCTTATCAAAGCTCTGCCGGATCCTAGCGCGATGGGGCCTCCGCCGAGCGCAGCTGCGTTCGCCCCGTCGAAGGCGCGAGAGCGCATGCCCAGAGAGGGCGCATTGTCACGTGCGGCCGTCTCGCAGGGAAGGGCCCCGCCCGCGATCTAGGGGGGATTGGCTGGAGCGGTTGATCGCAGAGGGGGCCGGCGGCGGCTGGATGGAGAGCTGGTACGTCTCCGCGGTCCCCGCCCGGACGGGCCCTCTCGGATGGAGGTCCTGGACGAGTTCGACAGCGAGATTCCCCCGAGCGTGACCTTCTGCCAGCGCATCTCCGAGGAGGACTTCGAGAGACAGGCGGCGACCTACACCAAGCGCGCGCTGCGCCGCCTCTTCCGCAGCATCGACCGCAACCCGAAGCTGGCGAGCGGGTGGTGCGCAGGGGCAAGCAGGCCGAGTGCGAGCGGCGCGGGCTCCTCTCCTTCCTCTGGGTGCGGGCCGGCGGGCGGGCTGCGGGGAGGGGGGACCAGGGGGCGGGTGCTGTCATCACTCCTGCTCCTGCCCTGTAGGGCGGAGATTGGGGGGGGGGGCCGTCGGGCCTACCTGGAGCTGCAGGGTAGGGTCTCCCAGAAGCCCGAGGCGGCCCAGCTTGGGGAGTGCAGCGGGCAGTCGTCTCACCCGTCTGGCGTCCTCCCGCTGCTGTCGCAGGCGAAGTTCTTCTGTGCTGTCCAGGGGGAGCTGAACTACTGCAACTGCGTGGGCGCCGGGGAGATACATCGGCGCCTGGAGCAGCTGAGGAGGAGCATCTACCGCGCGCACCTCTACTCCCAGGGTGAGGCCCACCCTGTGTCTGGCTCCAGCAACCCAGCAAACCTGACCCAGGGCCCCTTGTCCCTGGTCCTGTGGTTGGCACTTTTTTCTAAATTTGGTGTTTATTTTAAAAGTCTATTATGAAAATGAACATACACAAAACTAGAGACTGCAGTAAACACGCGAGTACCCTTCACCCAGCATCAGCGGCTGTCCCCATCTCACCATGCTTGTTTCATTCTCTAGATCCCCTTTTTCTTTTTCTGGAGCATTTTAAGGGAAATCTCAGACATCATTGTATTCCTGAATACTTTATTTATTTATAATTTTATTTATTTATTTATTTTCCCCCCAAAGCCCCAGTAGATAGTTGTATGTCATAGCTGCACATCCTTTTAGTTGCTCTATGTGGGACGCGGCCTCAGCGTGGCCGGAGAAACGGTGCGTCAGTGCGCGCTGGGGATCCCAACCTGGGCCGCCAGCAGCGGAGCGCGCGCACTTAACCGCTAAGCCACAGGGCGGGCCCTCCTGAATACTTTAGAATGCTTCTTAATAAAAAAAAGACAGTTTCTGACATAAATCACGATATTACTGCTGATATAATTGACAACAATTCCCTAATATTAGCTGATACTTACTTAGTCCATAGTCAGAGCTCCTGGATGGTCCACAAAAATCTTTCTACACTTGGTCTGTCGTGTCAGGACCCAACAAGGCCCACATGCTGTGTTCATGTTAGGCCTCTTAGGTTCCTTCTCACTAGGGTGACCATATAATTTGTGTCCACATCAGGGCACTTGTAAGAGTGAAATGCAAGGGGGCCATGTTAGTGACCACACAGGGATGGCAAACAAGGATCTGTGGCCAGGTCTGTGGAAGTCCCTTTGAAGTGAGGATACCCTTACTTTCCCTCTCATGCCACTGACTCAAAGATCTGTGTTGTCCTTCGGGGTATCCCACTTCATGGGTTTAGATCTGCTGTCATGGTCCACTGGTGGTGTTTGCTTTGCTCCCCTCTGCCTGTATTTCTCAGACAGTGGCTCTGAAGCCTTGATCTGATTCAGGTTCAGTGATACACCACAGCAGTGCTGGGGCTACTTTCTTCTCCATCCCATTGGGAGGCCCCGCTTACTTGGGGGTCCCCCTTTCTGTGATGCTGGGTGTGAGTGCTCCACGTCACCATTTCATCTGACGGCTGGTCCTACAGCACATGTAGCTCTTACCCGAGGTAGCATTAGTGTTATTTATCCTTGTTTTGTAGAAGAGGAAATAGAGGCCCAGGGAGGTTGGCCAACGTGCAAGGTCACATAGTAAGTAGGAGAGTCTGGACTTGAACTCAGGTCTGGGTGCTCCAAGGCGCAGTCTCTTAGGCCAGTGCTCCCTGGTGGTGGTTATTGTCACTCTAGGTGAGCCACTCTGATGGGCTGTATGAGGAGCTTGTTAACACCCGCTTTGCTGGTAGTCTCCAACTTTGAACAGTAGAAATAGCCAGACTCATCAAATCCAGGAGGGAGACCTAACACGGAGGGAAGAGAGGGGGCTCACTCAAGAGTTCTGCCCCTCAAAGATTCCCTCCCTGAGCCCACCTCTGCAAGACCTAGTTCATGTGGGTTTCCTAATAGAGGAAGGGCCCTTTGCACACCCCCAGGATGGCCCTGGGGCTGGGTGTAGTCGGTGCGCTCTCTGTCTAGGGCCTGGATGCTCCATGAGGGTGCTGGCAGACTCAGGAGCTTTCCGTGATGCTTGGGGGGTTGGGTAGCAGACCAACCTGCCTGGGCCAAGCCCAGCCCTCGATGGCTGTGACACTCTGTCACTTCCTATGAAATTCTGGCCTTGAAGTCAGACAGCCCGGGCATGGATCCTGCGTGTGTCTTGTACAGTTGGAGCTTCCGGTCCCGCTTGTAAGATAGAAACAAAAGTACCCTTTCCCCGTGGGGTAGTTGTGGGCTCGGTGAGGTGATGCTTGTTGGCGCCCATCGACAGCGGCTCCAAGCATTGTTATGTGGTGCCCTTTGGCGGGGGCCTACCTCTCTTCCTTGTTGGAGGGACTGTGTGAAGACCCCACACCACTGTGTTTGGCCCGCACTCTATCCTATTCTGGCCATGGAGTAGGCACTCATTGGCACCTTTTGTCACAGATGCCAAGAAGAGGAGGAAGCGGAAGTTGAAAAAACCAGAACCCATCCTCTTGAGGGACCGGTCAACCTCCCCGTGTCTGCCACCAACCCTGCTGCCACCTCTGCCACTGCCACCACCTGCCACCACCATGGCCTCCGAGGTGGCTCCATCGCCTTCTGTCTGCACTATGCCCAGGGTTTTTGGTCCTTACAATCCGCTGCCCTGCAAGTCGGTCAGTGGGCACATCCCCCACTCTATGCGGCCCTGGGAGGGACCGCCTCTGCCCCCTGCTCAGAACCACCCCAGCAGCTCTCCCACACCCACAACAGTGGCTCTCAGAACTTTGTTTTAAGCAGGAGAACCCTCTGCAGGGTTGAGTCTTGAGTGGAACTGCACCAGATAAAGCAGATAGGAGGGGGCTGCTCTGGTTGGATAATTGGGGTGGGGTTGAAGGCACAGCTCCACCTGCTTGGCCTCAGCCGAGCAAGGTAGCCCCAAGCGTACCGGGCAGAATCCTGGGGCTCCCAACATACAGGTAGAGAACCATGCCCCCCATGTCTCCAGTCCCACACCCTTAGCCCCACACCCACCTCTCCCTGTGGATGTCATTCTCCATGCCACCCTCTAAGTGCCTCCCTAATGCCCTTCCGAACCACCTGCCCCTCCTGACTCCTGCTTATTCTACACTCTCACTGCAGGCAGCGCCCCAGCCCCCAGGCTGGGTTAGGACCTCTTCGGTCAGCTCCCAGCTCCCATCCCATCCCTTGTCCCCCTAACACCAACCTCAGGGTGGACACTGAGGATGAGCCTGACGTATTTGCTGATTGAATGAAAGTCACATAGTTCTCAGAGTTCTTGTGTAAGGTGTTTTTCTTCACGGTGAGGCCCCCAAACTTGTCCTGAGATTTCTTTTGTTTCTTGCAGATGGAGAAATTGGAAGTTTCAAAGTCTGAAGTGAAATTCAACTGCACTGGCCTATCATCAAACCCAAGGAGGTGGAAGGAATTTATTCTAGGCTTGAGGTAAATGAAAAAGGAGCATTTAGGGGAGCCTGTTGTGTGCCAGGCTCGGTTGCCATTTCTTTCCCACCTCTTAGTTAATCCTCACCACAGTCCTGAGTGGGGGTATTCTCATTTTACAGGGGAGGAGTCCAGGCTTGGAGGTCTGCTCTGTGTACGGGAGTCCCTGTCCCCTGTCATAGACGTGCACACTGAGGCTGAGGAGGGCCTACTTGGGAGGAGGCCAGAGCTGACATCTGTCCCCCGCCTTGTCTTGCAGCCGCATGGTTGATCTGACTCCCTTGGATGTCAGCCCCGGAGGCTTCCATTTCCCGAACCCGGCGGCTGGAAACAGTGTGTACAAGCTCAATTGCCCTGGCTTCCCCCGGTAAGCATGCCTCTGAACCTCCCTGGGGGCAGACACCGTCCTGGCTTGGCCCCTGCCCTGCCTCTGAGTGGCATCATGGCAGTGTGCATGAGGGCCAGAAAAATGTTCAGTGTGATGGTCCCTTCCACTTCTAGGAAGGCCCCTAATGTAATCAGGGGTGCCGGAAAAGTCACTCCCCCTTCCTAGTGTTTGTAATGGCAAGAAATTGGAAACAGCTCAGAGGCCCACCAGAAAGGGAACAACTCCATCAACTGTGGGCAGCCTTAAGGTTTATATACATGCGTGTTTTGCAAAGCAGGGATTTATGGTGGTGTTAAGTATTTCCCACGTCATTGAGTGTTATTCCAAAGTATGATTTAGACTGGCTGCTTCATTGCATCAGATGACTTTTTTAAAAAATAGACTGTTTTTTAGAGGAGTTTTAGATCCACTGCAAAATTGAGCCGAAAGTACTGAGAGTTCGCATATGCCTCTTGCTCCTACACAGGCACACCCTCCCCGTTATCAACATCCCCCCCCAGAGTGGTATAACTGTTACAATCGATGAACCTACACTGACGCGTCATTATCACCCAGAGTCCATAGTCTACATTAGGTTCACTCCTGTTGTTGTACGTTCCGTGGGTTTGCACAAATGTATAATGACGTGTATCCACCGTTATAGTATCGTACAGAGTAGTTTCACTGCCCTAAAATCCTCTCTGCTCCACCTATGCATCCCTCCCTCCAGCCCTTGACAACCACTGACCTTTTTAGTGTCTCCATAGTTTTGCCTTTTCCAGAACGTCGTATAGTTGGAATCATACAGTATGTAGCCTTTTCGGATTGGCTTCTTTCACTTAGTAATATGCATTTACGGTTCCTCCATGTCTTTTCATAGCTTGATAGCTCATCTCTTTTAAGCACTGAATAATATTCCATTGTCTGGATGGACCACAGTTTATTTATCCATTCACCTACTGAAAGACATCTTGATTGCTTCCAGGTTTCGGCAATTATGAATAAAGCTGCTATAAACATCCGTATGCAGGGTTTTTTATGGACATAACTTTTCAACTCCTTTGGGTAAATACCAAGGAGCATGATTACTGGGTCACATGATAATATGTTTAGTTTTGTAAGAAACAGCCAAACTCTCTTCCAAAGTGACTCACCAGCAATGAATGAGAGTTCAGATGACTGCCTATGTAAAAAACTCACACAGTTCTGTAAAGTTGAGTTAATAGGAAGTTTACCCAAGAGGACACTCAAAGAGTGAGGAAAACTTTAGAAATATTTTTGGCTCCCTTAGTAGTGAAAGATGTACACATTAAGGTTGCTAGGATGTATGTTATATACCTCTCAAAAAGCGCAAAGTAAAGAGAATCCTGTGCTATCAAGGCTTTAGAAAGAGACTCTCATTTTTGCTGTGAAAATATTGTAAATTGGCTTTGTCCTTTTTCAAATTCTTTTTTTTTTTTTTCCTGAGGAAGAGTTGCCCTGAGCTAACATCTGTGTCAATATTCCTGTATTTTGTATGTGGGTCGCCACCATAGCATGGCTGCTGATGAGTGGTGTAGGTCTGTGCCTGGAAACTGAACCCGGCCTGCTGAAGCAAAGCACACCGAACTTAACCACCACTCCATGGGGCCGGCCCCTAAAATTCTTTTATTGAGATAATTCACATAGCATACAATTCACCCATTTAAAGTGTCCACTTCAATGGCTTTTTGTATATTCACATTTGTGCAACTATCACTACAATTCAATTTTATTTATTTTGGTTTTTTATTTTTTATTTTATTTTA